AACAATGGTGAGAAGAAATTAGTTAACTCCTGCATCTAAATTCCCAAAACCAGCTTATCTAAGTAATGTTAAATAAGCTTAATCTTTAAAAAAATGATTTTTATATATTTATAATATTTATAATCATTCCATAAATTTTAAACATTTCAGCTAAATTTGTTAATATTTTTAAATCATTATTAATAAGTTTACTATCATGAAAATCTAAACACTATAATTGATTTTACGAGTTAAATATATTAGTTATAAATGAATTACAATAATTATTGACCAGAGAAACCTAAGGACAAATAAAATAGAATCAGCAGATTCTAGAATATTTAATAATATTCTCATATACTAATGAATATCAAATAATCAATATAGGGTATTAGTAAATAGGATTTTAAATTATATCTGATAATAGATTTATTGTTAATTTAATAAATCAACAATGAATCAGCCTCTAATCTCTTTTGAAATTCTAAAATATATAAAAATGAATATTAATGTTCTTTTTTGAATATAGATATAGTATTAATTGTAATAGGCAAATATATATATATCCTAAAAAGCACTTTTATTTCGATAATAATAATAATAATAGTGATATATAAAGAATAATTTATATCATTCCATAATATGATTTTGAGTGATAATTTAATATAAAATAGAGAATTCTTAAATTTAAGGTAGAGAGAAAAGTTTATTTTTATAAATATGAGATGTTAGAATATATATAGAAATTAGTGATAAATTCAGTTCAATAGAATAAAAGACTTCGTTTTATTCAATCAGATGGAATGTCAAATTATAATTTGAAAAGGAAATATTATATCATAGCATCATTTAGAGGATAAAAAAGAGGAGTTTAAGTCTAAAATATTATGAAATTTGATTTAGATTATGAGAATTTTAGATAGTGTGGAAAAAATAGAATAAATGTTTTTGAGAGAGCCTATTATATTTTAGATAACTTTTAACAATAACTACATTATTGGAGTCAGTTAGACAATTTGAAAATAATGTAACTAGGATAGATGTTATGAATTTTATAAAAATAATATCAATAAAATAATTATTTGCTAAAAGAATGTCTTCTAACATATATTTAACATAGACTTAAATTCATGATTTGTTTTAACCATGTGAAACCAAAAAAACTGAGATAAAAACATTAGAAATACCTTCATTTGGAGATGTTAATTCAAGTGAGTAGTCCCCAGAGTTTCAGTAGGAAGTATATGAATTTGATTATTATTTAAGGCATATTATTTCCTTTCTAGTTGCAAAAAGGATGAAAACTATACCACAAATCCAACAAACAACACAAACAGACACTTAAGTTAGGATTCTATAATAGAGCTGAAAGATGATACAGTTAGAAGTATGTAACAATGTTTATTTAGTTCAGTATCTAAAGCTGAATATGAAAGTTTGAAGAAAGATGCTTAAAACTACTAGGCTTTGATGAAACTAAATGGTAAATTGAAGGCTCATAAATAACTAATAAGTTAAACAAATTCTTATAAATGTATTAATGATTGTTATATAAAATTTAGCATAGATTTATGTTGTACAAGAATGTAACAAGAAATTATAGGGACACATTTATGAATTGATACAGAATATAAAAATGTTGGAAGCAGAAAATTAATAGTAATCTGAAGATTTACTAATATTGAGATTATAGATATAGGATCAATTAAAAATAATATAATAAGGGAAGATTGATATGGAGAGATTAAAAATATAGATGATAGAAAAAGAAGAAAGTTTTATAAAATTACAAGATAATTACAATAAACTTTTTAAGGAAACTGAAAGGACAAAGAATTCTAAAAGTGCTTAACGTAGTACTTATGTTTCTACTCATACTTCTAGTCCTTTATTCAAAGGATTATCAAGAATTTGTCTTAATAATTACTGTAACACTAGTTTTGTTATTGAAAAATAGCGATGATAAGTAATTTGTTTTTTCCATGATTTATGATTTTATTATTATCATTAAACAGGTTGCCACTTAACTTATATAGCTAATTTTAATTTTTGAATTCTGTTTGATCTAAAATGAATCATGGTTTCCATTTAACCTGAATCTAATCGTTTTAATACTTTTGAAGTTTTAGTTGAAAGAATTAAGCCTTTACATAGAGTAAGATCAATAAAACATTCAATTGGATATGTTTGATCATTAATGGCAATAATACAAAATGTATCAGAGTAACGATTATAACATTAAATAACTCTGATACCTTCTCTTTCAGTTTTAATATTTTCAATCTAATGATATTGATCTGGAAAAGTTGTTGCAAAGACATGAACTCTATTATTCAAATCAGTATTAATAGCATCTCTAACTGTTACTGATATTTCAATAGAAGAATGAGCAGTAAATATAAAACATCTACTTTTTATAGAATTTAAATTTTTATCATATCCTAATTTTTCTAACCATCTATAAATAGTTTCAATTCCTAATTATTTTATTTAATCAATAAAAAATTCAACAAATCCTGTGAAAGTAATACCTTTTTCAGTTGAAGTATATTTAGTAAGCATTTATTTAAAATATTCTGGATCAAGTTATTTCTCTAAACAATCATAAATTCCTTTGAATTCAATATAACTCAATTCTCTAAGTAATAACATATCAAATTTTCTAAAGATATCATTTAATGTTGAATAAAGTAATGGATGAACAGATCCATCATTATTTAATAAATTAATTTAATTAGTATTTTCTCCATATAAATATAATCCACTTGTTCTTGGTACTACAACATAAACACCAGGATTTAAATCATATTCTAATTATACTTATCTATCTTATTTAGTTATAGTTTATGCAAGTAATTCTAATCCTTTTTCTGTTTATTTGAATAATGTTAAACCAATATCTAAATATGGTCTTAATAATTTAACACCTCTAATTCTCTCATCTTCTTAATGAATACCTAATATCACTTTAGTTGATTTTGTAATGACAAATGAATAATACCATTTACTAAGTACAACATCAATATTATTATCATTTATATCAGTTACTTTAATAAATTTTCCTTTTATTCTAACTTCTTCCCAATTTCTCACTTTACAAATATTAACACCTTTAAAATAATTTAAGAAATCTTTCCAACACATCCAAAATTAACCATCATTACTATCATTTACAAAATTAACTAAATTTTATATTTCTTAAGTCCATAAAGGAGATGTATCACTCCAAGCTCCCTTCCATTCAAAATTACCCCAAGGATTACGAATATTTAATAATTTATTTCCTTTTGCTTCTTTTACTTATAATATTGAATAAGCATGACCAGGAATCAAACCTATATTATCTCCTGATTATTCTTTTCTCTATCCTTCACTCTAAGTATCATTTCCTTCTGTAAATGCATTAATTAAATAACCTTCTTGATCAAATTACAATAATTATTGCCACATCTATTATAATTCATTATAACCATAAACTACTGTTGGACAACCAGTTAAATCTACCATAGCTTCTCCAGATAAACCTTCTCTAAGTCCAAAATAACTTCCATGTAATTTAGCATATGCTTTTTCAAGTAATAGTACCCATAATTCATTACCATGTGCAGCTGAAAATATTGGAGCACCCAATGGATAACATGGAAATAAATCATCAATAGTAACATATACCCATTCACCATTCTTACAAATTTTAATTCTATAAATTCCAAGTGAATTTGTTGTCATTGTTACAAAGAGTCTCTTTACTAATGCAGGTCTTTCAGCTAATGATGAGAGTGCTGATAAAAACCAACAATTTCCTAATGCTCCTTATTTAATATCATTAGGTTCTATTTTATCAAAAAATATTTCTGGTCTTTTATTTGCATCTTTGAGTTAAAAGAATGAACTAGGTCTTCTCCATTATATTAATGTATCCAATTCGGTCTCTTCATCTCCAAATATACTTGACTATATAAATATTATTTAAATACATCAACAGGTAAAAATTCAGGGTCAACAAATGGAGATTTTAAATATCTAAGTATTTCAGGAATCTCTTTTAATTGAAATGGATAATGATATAATTATTTCATCTAATCTTGAATTTCTAAAGTCAATTACATTTGATCTTCTTTCAAATATTAAGATTGAATTGTTTTATCTGCTGTTTTTAAACTAAATTTAAATTTTGTTTTCAATTTCCAGTCTTATTTCATAGTCAATTAAGCTACTTGTTTAGTTTCAAATGGATTAATTATTGTAATTGTTTTCATCTTATTTTAACCATCAACCAAAATATTCTCACTTCCTGTAAAATCAGCTATGAATTCCATACAATTTAATCTATTCAATTACACTTTAAATATGTAAATCATTTCTGGACCTGGTTGTATATGTTTTAATAGTATGATTCCAGGAGATATTTCTTTTTAAGTTATATTTGCATTCATAATTAAATAAATAAACAATGTAGAAATTATTCATTCTATCATTATTGTTGTTACTTTCAGAATTAGTAAATTGTTAAGAGCCACAATCTGCTGAAAATAGAGGTAACTATAATTCTATCTTAGTATTTCAATGGGTATTCATAACCGTATTTATACTAATAGTAATAATCATAATCCGTGCCATTATTACTAGAAGAAGACCTGTAGTATTGTTAGGATTGGTAGAGGAAGTTCCACCTTAAAACGTTGTTGTGGTTCATTAAGTTCCAACAAATATAAATTAATATCCTCCTTAATTCACAGCCCCTCCTGCTTAAAACCAATAATATTAAGAATGGGTTAAATAATAATAAGTGAATTAAGGAATGCCATAATAGTAATAATAATAAATACCTCCTTAATATCCTCCATAAATGAATTAAAATTACTATCAATAACAATAACCTATTCAATATCAATAAAATGTGTAAGCTTATCCAGCAAATCCAGTATATCCACAATAAGGAATACCAATAAGTTAACCATATCCAAAATGATCTAATGATGAAGATTTATTATATTTATATCAGAATTAATTTATAATTTATTATGAGAGTTGGATTACAAAAAAATTATGGACCTACTTAAATATTCCCAGATAATAAACAATAAAGAGCTTCATCATTTTATGCTATTACTAATCATTATCTAAAAGCATAAGTTAATAAGAATGATCAGAAATCTAAATCAGTGAATACATATGGAGTTGAATGTAATTTAGAATAATATTTTAAATAGAGAGAGACTTTTATGATTAATTGAGATTAAAAGGGAAGGCAAAGAAAAGNAATACATCAACAGGTAAAAATTCAGGGTCAACAAATGGAGATTTTAAATATCTAAGTATTTCAGGAATCTCTTTTAATTGAAATGGATAATGATATAATTATTTCATCTAATCTTGAATTTCTAAAGTCAATTACATTTGATCTTCTTTCAAATATTAAGATTGAATTGTTTTATCTGCTGTTTTTAAACTAAATTTAAATTTTGTTTTCAATTTCCAGTCTTATTTCATAGTCAATTAAGCTACTTGTTTAGTTTCAAATGGATTAATTATTGTAATTGTTTTCATCTTATTTTAACCATCAACCAAAATATTCTCACTTCCTGTAAAATCAGCTATGAATTCCATACAATTTAATCTATTCAATTACACTTTAAATATGTAAATCATTTCTGGACCTGGTTGTATATGTTTTAATAGTATGATTCCAGGAGATATTTCTTTTTAAGTTATATTTGCATTCATAATTAAATAAATAAACAATGTAGAAATTATTCATTCTATCATTATTGTTGTTACTTTCAGAATTAGTAAATTGTTAAGAGCCACAATCTGCTGAAAATAGAGGTAACTATAATTCTATCTTAGTATTTCAATGGGTATTCATAACCGTATTTATACTAATAGTAATAATCATAATCCGTGCCATTATTACTAGAAGAAGACCTGTAGTATTGTTAGGATTGGTAGAGGAAGTTCCACCTTAAAACGTTGTTGTGGTTCATTAAGTTCCAACAAATATAAATTAATATCCTCCTTAATTCACAGCCCCTCCTGCTTAAAACCAATAATATTAAGAATGGGTTAAATAATAATAAGTGAATTAAGGAATGCCATAATAGTAATAATAATAAATACCTCCTTAATATCCTCCATAAATGAATTAAAATTACTATCAATAACAATAACCTATTCAATATCAATAAAATGTGTAAGCTTATCCAGCAAATCCAGTATATCCACAATAAGGAATACCAATAAGTTAACCATATCCAAAATGATCTAATGATGAAGATTTATTATATTTATATCAGAATTAATTTATAATTTATTATGAGAGTTGGATTACAAAAAAATTATGGACCTACTTAAATATTCCCAGATAATAAACAATAAAGAGCTTCATCATTTTATGCTATTACTAATCATTATCTAAAAGCATAAGTTAATAAGAATGATCAGAAATCTAAATCAGTGAATACATATGGAGTTGAATGTAATTTAGAATAATATTTTAAATAGAGAGAGACTTTTATGATTAATTGAGATTAAAAGGGAAGGCAAAGAAAAGGTATTGATATTTAGAATTTTAATGCAGTTAAAATTAAAATTCTCAAAACCCTATATTCAAGTTAAAGGGTGACAATATTGTTGCAATCAAATCAAAGGATCGAGAATTATATCCTGTAGATATACAATGGAATAATTGTCAAATAGGTAGAATATAAGGAGAAATTAATGGGAAGATTGATAAGAATTATGCTAAAGTAAATAATATTAAAAAATAGATAAGAAGATATTTGGAAGGATCATCAAGTGTGATTGATTATTCAGAAACTAAAATGTATGACTAATTCAATTCATATGCTAATATAACCAATTAAGAAAGATTTTCAAAAGATTGTGATGTCATGTTTAGAACTAGTAATAATGCTTATCCTAGTAAAGTACAAACAACTGGAAGTATAGTGAGGACTAAATTTGAACCAGATTGGATTCATAGAGGGAAAAACTGATAATTTAATACATAATTGTATATACTAGATAAAAATAAATTAAATGGGACCATATCTGAGTTAACCAAATAGAAATAAAACTACAACAACTGGATCAGGAAAATCTGTTATATTTGCTGCTTCTGAAATGCAAGGTATTTTTATGAATCTAGATTTAAGGCTGGAGAAACACAATGGAAGATGCTCATATTCACAGACCTGATATTGCCTAAGATGTTTCTGTTTTTGGTGTATTTGATGGTCATGGAGGAAGAGAAGTAGCATATTTTGTAGAAAAACATTTTATTGATGAATTACTAAAAAATTAAAATTTTAAGGATTAGAAATTTGCAGATGCTCTTTAAGAAACATTTTTGAAAATGGATGAATTGTTGATGACACCAGAAGGATATAAAGAATTAAATAATTACAAGTCTAATAATTCTGATGGTGACTATTAAAGTAAATAATAGATTCTTATGCTGGATGTACTGCCAATGTAGCTTTGATTCACAAGAATACTTTATATGTTGCTAATGCAGGAGATTCAAGATCAGTATTATGTAGAAATAATACAAACTTTGATATGAGTGTAGATCATAAACCAGATAATTATTTAGAAAAACAAAGAATTGAAAGAGCTATAGGTTTTGTAAGTGGGGCTAGAATTAATGGTAATATAAATAAATTAATAAAATTATCTTTAGCCAATTTAAATTTATCAAGGGCTATAGGGGATTTGGAATATAAACGTAATAGTAATTTGAGACCTCATGAATAAATGATTACAGCATTTCCAGATATTAAAATAATAGATTTGGGGTAATAGGATAAGTAATATTTATAATGTTATTGAAGATTCATTTTGATGGGATGTGATGGAGTGTTTGAAACCCTGTCTCATTAAGAGTTGCTAAATCATGTAAATGCAACTTTGGGAAATGCATCTGTTACTGAAAAGTTATTATAAAAAGCAGCAGAAGATTTATTAGATTAATTATTAGCTCCAGACACAAGTTTAGGATTAGGTTGTGACAATATGACAATTATTTTAGTGTATTTAAAAAAATGAATAGAAATATAAAATAAAATTAATGTAATAACATCAAGTATTAATTGCAGCATCAATAAATAGATTCCATTCTATTGCATTATATCTTTAAATTTCTATTGATAATAACTTTATCTTTTGCATTATTCTATCTATTTATGCATTTACTTATTCACAGATATCATTTTATCCAATGCCTAATAATCTCTTCTCAATTAAATTATAGTATTCATATTATTTTGTATGTTAATCTCGAAAATTTAGAAAGTCTTATTGCAATTATTCAAATTATTAATATAATTTTGATTTCTCATCATCAAGCATAGGTAAAAAATATTTGCAAATATTCTTATCTTCATTTTCTAAATGTTTCAATACAATTAGACATGGAATAGTTACAAAGACATCACTATCTCTACATTCTAATTATTCTGCAAATTAAATATGCTTTTCTGCTGTTGTCTCTATTATATGAGAAAACAACATTAATTATATATATTTTCTAGGTTCTAATAAATAATGTAAACCCTTTTCCCATTATGTCTCATATTCTACTAATAATTCTACTAATTCTATATTATTCTTCAACTAAGGATCCACCATCTCAATATTTTCTTCATATTTTCGCATCTACTCTCGAAACTTTTTAAAACTATTATTTCATAATTTTATACTTCATTTTTATACTATCAGCTAATCTTCTTACAGCCTTTGATTATTCTTATGTCACTCTTCTTGTTATTCCTTCTGCCTCCAATAAAATATTCACTCCTAAATCATCTCTTCCTTTACCCTCAACATTTGCTACTGAATTTATCTAAGCTAACACTTTACAAAACTAAAAATTATCATATTCTTATACTGTTGTTTTTAATTGTAAATAACTTTCACTTGTAACCAAAATCTTTCCTCTTAATTTTTCTCTTATTTCTATTGATTGCATTTCTTTATCTATTTAAATTGCTTATAATATAAATCTCCTTGCTTTCCCTTCTATCTCCATCAATTCCTTCACATATAACTATTATTCTATCTTATTATAAGTACCTTCTCAAATTATACCCATATATCATCAAAATTTTCTAATAAAAATTAAATCTCAAGTATTAAACTAGACTTTGAGAAATCTGGACTTTCTTAAAGAGTGTTTGTATATAAGTGTCTAATAACATGCTACACTTTATAAAAAGCATCAACTAACTTTATTCCTGCTTCTAAAACTTCAAGAGTGAACGAATATTTCTCAGAATTTACCCATAAATATGGAAACCCTATTCTAATTATTTAAAAAACCTTCTTGAGCACTATCGAGAATTTCAGTCAAGTAACACAATTTATCCTATGTATATAGAATTTTATAAGCTTTTGAAAAATGATTCCTATATTCACGAGATTCAACCTTAACCTAATAGACCTGTGTTATTACATTTTATTACTTCACACATTTTTTCGAGATTTTGTAAAAACTTTTTGCATTATTTCTATCCTTCAGGATTGTCTAGATCATATTTATGAAAATCTCTCTAAACAAGTTAACTCGATAATCTATATGCCTTTTCTAAGAGCTCATATTCTGTTGACCTAGACAAACTTAATACAATAGGCAATACCTTTTAAATTCTTCAAGCTCTGTCAAAGGTCTAGCAGGAGCTGTCATGCATCGCTTTAATGGAGATTCGTCTTATGAAGTATCTGATACTGGAGGTTATTTGATTATTCATACTTTCATCTTCAATGTCTTACTCGTAGTATTGCATTTAATAATTATTATTTACATCTATATTTAGTGGTAATACTCCTTCACACCTAAACCAAATAAATAAATTTAAAAAAATATCTAATACACAACATTCATAACATTATTATTGAATTTTAGGTAGATTCTAAGATTTTCTGGTCAAAAATACAATCTTCAAATTTTACTAAAGTGATGGATTTTAAATGAATAACGAATTTTCTCATTTGAACGTTCATATGTATATTAACTTTAACATATTTATGTAAGTTGCAAATTAGAAGTAATATTTATTAATTCTATTTTGAAATTTCTTAACAGTAACTTAAGAGTCTAAAAGTATTGTTAAAATACATAATCATTATCAATTTAATAAATTCAAACAAAACGCATATACATTAGATGAAGAATAATGAATAAAATAATAAATTGAAAATTAAAAAACAAAAATAATATTTTATTAATTTAATTCTCATATTTTTTGAAATACTTGTAAAATAACAGACATAAACGATGAAAACATCTTATAAAACAATAATATTAATGAGTATAAATTTTTATAGATAATCATATATATGTTATAATATAATTAATATTAAAAATAAATTATATAAAATAGAGAAATTTATTTATAATATTCATTATCCAACCAAATAATTTATTTAAATCACTTTAAACAACAACTAAATTCTTAACTTTAGATATTATTTCAATAATTAATATCTTAATCTTAAAACTAAATTATTATAAATCTTTTGTTATCTAGAGTAATAATATTACTGTGCTCTTCCAATTTCATCATTTAGTCTAAAATAAAAAAAATACCTATTCTTATTATAATACAGATTATAATCCTAAAATTAATGAAATAAATTAGGGCAAAAAGTATTCAGTATCATATTAAATTATTTTTGAAGAGACAAAATAATATTCTTATATAATGGCTTATAATACTATTATTAGTATTAGATAACAAATTAGCTTTTAACCTATAAATATTTTTATTATGTTGTTTATTTTTGACAAAATTCTAATGATCCTAATAAATTTAACATATTATAAAGTAGTTAAATTTACATTAATATCATTATAATAAATTTAATTGATTTAATAATTTATTTTAGTTAATTTTTGGATGAGAATACATAGTTAAATTTATTATAATGAATAATTCTCTATTAATCACCATTCTAAGAAGGGATCGTCTGCTGGTTTAAGAGCAGGACTTTAGGTATCGGATTCAGGATAGGATGAAAAATTAGATGTATCATTTGGAGCTCTAATAAATAAGGTAAGAATAAATTATTTACTTCACAACTGGTTTATAGGGAACAGGTAATTTCTTTTGAGTAAGGAGATTCCAATCTAGACTTGCAAACCATCTATGATTTTTGACATCAGCAGCGCCTTAGATTAGATATGAATGTATTACCATTTTTTAAATTTCCATATCTTTTAGAAAGATCGGCCACAAGTAAATGTTTGACTAAAGATTTGCCATTCCTTTTGATTTAATATTTTATAATTACTTATCAAAGCTTTTTGGGAATTTGACTTTGCCCTTCAAAATCTTTTGATAAATGGCCATAGGATCTTCATCAGAGAATGGATCAATTCCTGCATTCATTTCATAAATTAAAATTCCCAAAGTCCACCAATCAACAGCTTTACCATGTCCTTTATTCAATAAGATTTCAGGAGCCAAGTATTCTGGAGTTCCACATAATGTGTAAGTTCTTCCTTCGACAACTTTTGCAAAACCGAAATCTGTTAATTTGAGATATCCATCATCTGCAATCAATAAGTTCTCTGGTTTAAGATCTCTATAGATAATATTCTTAGAATGCAGATACTCAAAAATGGAGGCAACTTAAGCACCATAAAAGCTAAGATTAGCTTATAATATTACGCTGCATGTTAAGTATCGAGTCTTCCAATGCTTCTTAAATAAGTGAATAATTCTCCTCCAGAAACGAATTCTAAAACTAAATAGAGATATCTTGGATCTTAACAGAAGCCTTCAAAAGTTACCTAAGAATGATAATTAATTTTTACAATAAATGGATGCTATAAATTTCCTAATATTGTATTTTCATTAATGACATGATCAACTTGTTTGAGTCTTATAATCTCTGCCTTTTTTAGACTTTTCAAGGCCACATATTTATTAGTTTATTTATTCCTTGCCAGTTTCACTCTTCCAAATGAACCTAAAATTCAACATTTCAATTATTTATTACCAGTACCCAAGGTTTGAAAGACTTCATAATCTGTAAGTTTAAGTTTTTTAGGTTTAACAAGTCCTGTACTCATTGATATAAAGATTTAAATAAATTATTATTTAATGGAAATAGTTTAATATAAAATACTCAGTTTATATTAAATAAAATTTGAAAAAACTTATAATAAGAAAGGTGATTTATGTAGAATATATGTAAAAAATTTATATGTTTAAATTATATTTGTTATTTACTAAATAAATCATAGCTTTGCTAATCCATATCCCTGAGCATTGTTTAGATCATTGAATAAGTGATTTCCATAAGCAAATCTAGAGACTTGTCTAAGGTGGACTTCACATGGTCCATCCATGAATCTAATAGCTCTGGCGAAACGGAATGCAAGTGCCAATGGTTGCTCTTCAGTTACTCCCTCAGCTCCAAATGCTTGAACGCATTAGTCTATAATATATTGACAAGCTTTGGGAATATGAGCTTTACATTCGCTAACAGCCATGAATGTATGTAAATGTCTGGATCCAGCAGAATCCAATAGTAATCCAGCATTTAAACTTAATAATCTACATGATTAGAATGCAATTTCCAAATCTCCTAATCTTTCTTAGAAGGCAGCATTATCTTTTAATGATTATTTGAATATAATTCTTTTTTCTGATCTTGACATCATTAAATCTAAACATCTTCTAGTTAATCCAACTTATCTAACACAATGATGTAATCTTCCTCCTAATAATCTACCTTATGCCATTTTGAATGCTCCTCCAAGTTGTCCTAAGAGATTTTCTTATGGAATGAAGGCATTATCGAATTCAACTTCTGAATAACCATGAGGTATATCATAGAAACCAAAGACAGGAAATTGTCTAATTATTTTTATTTTTGGATTATTCATGTCAACTAAAATCATTGATTATGATTCAATAGGATTACTCATATCTGGAGATGATTTACCCATAACAATTCCAAAGATAGCTCTTTCATCTGGAGCACTAGAAACAAACCATTTACCACCATTAAGAATAAATCCTCCTTCAGTTGGTGTGATA